TTTATTCAAATTTAAATGAAACAAAAGATGGTGAGATTTATTGCATTTTTGTTACGAGAGATGGGTAGGGTAGCCGAGCAACGATCCTCTCATTTTTTTTCTACTTCACTCTCATTGCGATGGTTAAAATTTATCTTAAGAAAATTTATTGGTTGAGATCATTTTAAAAAAATTACCTTTTAATTTTAAAATTTTTTTTAATCAAGTGATTTGAGCCGTTAAACGAGGGAGTTAAGTAGAGACCACGGAGAGAATCCTTGCTCAGCGTAGCCACGTAATCTCCGCCGAACTACCATCACCACCAGCCCATCGATCTGTTTACTTGCGCACCACACCGCACCGCACCGCACCGCACCACGTCACTTCCATGTCCGCGAGCCACAAAAACTGAGAAAGAGACACTCCCCACACCCAACACCACCGTACGCTTCGGTGTCTCCGTCACCCTGCTCAAACCCTCTCTCTCTCATCCTAAATCTCCGAAACACTCTTTGTTTGATCTCCGACAACATCTCTCCAATTCAAATTCAACAATTGAACTTGTATTTTGATTCAGCATAAATATACATAAGTCACAGAACCAATAAAGAATCGAAAGGACCTGTTGTTGGTTTTGGTGGTGAAATGTCGTCGGTGATTTCAAATTTTGGGTTCGTTTGTGATGAGAGTTATTTTTTGGTTATTTTAATCTGGAGTTAAAAAATAGATATTTGAAGTTGTTATTTTAGTTTTTAGCTATTTTAATTTTTAACTATTTTAATAGGCTAAAATTTTTATGTTTAGAAATATAGTTGATTTTTTTATAATTGGATATGATATTTATGAAAAAAAAAAAATGAGATGATTATGATTTATTGTAATATTTTATTTTATTAACTTTTTAGCCTATTATATATTTTTTTGACTAAAATAACCTTTTAACCCCAAAAATTGGCTTGCCAAACGAGTGCTAAATGGGAGATAACTTTGTGAGAATATAACGCTACTTGAAGAAAAGCCAGACCTTTCTACTTTGATTAGCTAAAACTAAAAAAACTTGTTCTTTTTTATGTTGTTTATGTTTGTCTATGCTATACTTTTTTCAACTTTTGAGTCACAATTTCTGACTTTTTAGGTCCATCTCAACTAGAAAAGATAAAAAATATTTAAAAAAAAAAACATAATTCAAAAAGAAAGAAGTTAACCAAGAAAAAAAAAAAAAAAAACCCAAAGAAGTCACTCCCAATAGAAGCAGACCAGCACAGAGCCTCCTGCCTCTTGGTGAAGGATTAACCTTCCCAAAGTGATGGGCTCAATACACAAGCAAAGCAAATGGTAAGCTTCCTTCCACTTGTATAAGGTAATACAACCCCAAACAGATACATAAAAGAGCACGCACCCTAGTTGAATTTCTCTCTTTCATTACCTCAAGAAAGGGGTGATCAGACAATTACAGTTAGAGCTTCCTGATTTTACTGTCCAAGTTCATCACAGTTGATTATAGTATATACATTTGCCAGTCTTTGTACATGCAATACAGACTGTACAACAATAAAGGCAATTCACCTTTTCACAAGCAGAGGTTAAACAGTTATTCTCGCTTATCCTCCTCAAGATCTTCCCTTAGCACAGTTACCTGGTCCGTTTCACCGGCTACCTTCACTCCACTACTTGTAAGTGAGATGGCCTCCTCATCATAGTCATCTCCTGCTGAGTATGCATACCTGAGTATCCAAATTTATATATATTAAAATACTAACATTAGCCTAACGACGATCATTTCTATATGGTGCATCTTCTAAAATAGCATATTTCTGTATGATGAAAAGATTAGAAGAAAAAAAGAGAGAAAGATTTGTTCTACATTGAGTTGTGTTCTAACCTAGTGAGTGTTATTAAGTCTCCATCACTCCTCCAATAGCTAAGCCCCTTTGCATGCAAAGAGTGTGTTTGGATCTTGTATTTGGAGCACTAGATAACTTAAAGTTCAATAATATGCTTTTTGTTTTTATCAATGCAAAATATTTTTTTTTTGTTTTCGGGAAGGCAAGTGGCTACTGGTTCAATGGTTAAAACTCAACTTATTAACCTGATAGATTGTGGGTTCAAACCCGAGGACACCCACTTCGTGCAAAGAGTGCAAAAGGTCAAGTCTATGCCCAATCTACTTCCTCACTGACAGGTCAACAATGGAGACTAAAGTACTATTTTTTACCACCACCACAACTAGTACTAATACTATTATTTGAATGGTATTTGTTCTAAAACTAAAAAGCATAAGTTTCTATAGAAGAGATTTGGGAATGGCCTTTGCAGGCCTATACATGTGTACATTTCTTCTTCTTTTTCCACATTTTCTGGATGATAACTTATGCATATATATATTAATAGACAGTACATATATCTGAAGGTATGTCCTATTATTTCAGAATTTACACCTCAAGGTGTATGTATCATGTGTCCATGTCCCATCTCAACGTCTATGTATCATGTGTCCATGTCCTATCTCAACATCTATGTAACATAGGTCCCTATAACACTTGTAAAACTAAAATGTATCTGCAAAGTTACGCTTCCTCAAGAAATTTTTTTTCCCTAAAGTTTCCTAGAGTGTATTGTGTGGTTGAGATTTAATGACAAGTTTGAGATTTAATGACAAGTCACATCAATTTTTTAGCATTAAATCTCAACCACACAATGCACCACTTTAGGAAACACTTTAGGAAACTTTAGAAAAAAAACACTTTAGAGAATCCTTGGTGCACATAGAGAGAGAGAGAGAGAGGGGGAGGAAGAGTCAAATTTGGTGAAATGATATTTGAGAGAGTATATACCACATATATATATATATATATATATCTGCTTATTTTGGTCATTTTATGACAACTTGTCCTTATGGACAGACTAATTTAGCCCCGTGGATCTATAGAGGAAGAAATCTAAATTTGGATTGTTGGACTAAATCCCTAATATAAAATTGTAATAATTATTCCTTTCGAATGTAAGTTGACTTTTTAATTATTTTAATTTGAGATCAAAAAATCACGTTTAGAATAAATTTTTTGATTTTTTTAACTTTAAAAAAAAAAAATGAGATGATTATGATTTATTGTAATATTTTATTTTATTAACTTTTTAGCCTATTATATATTTTTTTGACTAAAATAACCTTTTAACCCCAAAAATTGGCTTGCCAAACGAGTGCTAAATGGGAGATAACTTTGTGAGAATATAACGCTACTTGAAGAAAAGCCAGACCTTTCTACTTTGATTAGCTAAAACTAAAAAAACTTGTTCTTTTTTATGTTGTTTATGTTTGTCTATGCTATACTTTTTTCAACTTTTGAGTCACAATTTCTGACTTTTTAGGTCCATCTCAACTAGAAAAGATAAAAAATATTAAAAAAAAAAAACATAATTCAAAAAGAAAGAAGTTAACCAAGAAAAAAAAAAAAAAAAACCCAAAGAAGTCACTCCCAATAGAAGCAGACCAGCACAGAGCCTCCTGCCTCTTGGTGAAGGATTAACCTTCCCAAAGTGATGGGCTCAATACACAAGCAAAGCAAATGGTAAGCTTCCTTCCACTTGTATAAGGTAATACAACCCCAAACAGATACATAAAAGAGCACGCACCCTAGTTGAATTTCTCTCTTTCATTACCTCAAGAAAGGGGTGATCAGACAATTACAGTTAGAGCTTCCTGATTTTACTGTCCAAGTTCATCACAGTTGATTATAGTATATACATTTGCCAGTCTTTGTACATGCAATACAGACTGTACAACAATAAAGGCAATTCACCTTTTCACAAGCAGAGGTTAAACAGTTATTCTCGCTTATCCTCCTCAAGATCTTCCCTTAGCACAGTTACCTGGTCCGTTTCACCGGCTACCTTCACTCCACTACTTGTAAGTGAGATGGCCTCCTCATCATAGTCATCTCCTGCTGAGTATGCATACCTGAGTATCCAAATTTATATATATTAAAATACTAACATTAGCCTAACGACGATCATTTCTATATGGTGCATCTTCTAAAATAGCATATTTCTGTATGATGAAAAGATTAGAAGAAAAAAAGAGAGAAAGATTTGTTCTACATTGAGTTGTGTTCTAACCTAGTGAGTGTTATTAAGTCTCCATCACTCCTCCAATAGCTAAGCCCCTTTGCATGCAAAGAGTGTGTTTGGATCTTGTATTTGGAGCACTAGATAACTTAAAGTTCAATAATATGCTTTTTGTTTTTATCAATGCAAAATATTTTTTTTTTGTTTTCGGGAAGGCAAGTGGCTACTGGTTCAATGGTTAAAACTCGGCTTATTAACCTGATAGATTGTGGGTTCAAACCCGAGGACACCCACTTCGTGCAAAGAGTGCAAAAGGTCAAGTCTATGCCCAATCTACTTCCTCACAGACCCCAATCCAATGGAGACTAAAGTACTATTTTTTACCACCACCACAACTAGTACTAATACTATTATTTGAATGGTATTTGTTCTAAAACTAAAAAGCATAAATTTCTATAGAAGAGACTTGGGAATGGCCTTTGCAGGCCTATACATGTGTACATTTCTTCTTCTTTTTCTACATTTTCTGGATGATAACTTATGCATATATATTAATAGGCAGTGCATATATCTGGAGGTGTGTCCTATTATTTCAGAATTTACACCTCAAGGTGTATGTATCATGTGTCCATGTCCCATCTCAACGTCTATGTATCATGTGTCCATGTCCTATCTCAACATCTATGTAACATAGGTCCCTATAACACTTGTAAAACTAAAATGTATCTGCAAAGTTACAACACTCTTAATGGGTTAAGCCACCTCAGATTTATGTTTGAAGCTCAACTAATTTAGTAAGTTGGGTGTCTCGTTGCAAACATCTAGCCCTGCCACAACTCTAAAAGGCAATAAAACCTATAACTCCATCACCATCCAAAGAGTTTGTTCATATAGTTTATGAATAGTAGACAAAATAAAAAATAAGAAAATGAAGGTGTCGATGTCATAACGGATACCTAGTTGGGTTACTTGAAGGAGCCCAAAGAACACATATCACCACCAAGAGAGAGAATGCAAGCAGAGTCCAAAAAGCTGGAATTATCCAGGCAATTCGCCACAACTCACTCAATGGGTCACTTGCATTGAAGTACAGCTGAGCCAACATGAGTCAATAGTCAGTATTCATTGAGGTTAGTATATAAATGAGATCATCAGACCAGTTTTCATCAGTCATCAATGTTTATGAAGCCATGAATATATATATATATATATATATAATATTAGGTTGTGAAACAAAACAAGAAAGGGTACTACCTCATAGCCAATCCAAGCAATAGAAAGCAGCACAAATATTGCGAGGGAATTGGTAAATTTTCGGTAGAGCTCAAGTTTGGCCATGCTTCTGCGCATCTACACTCAAGATAAACAGGAAAAGGAGAGGAAGAGAAACAATCAATGGTTGCACAATACGAATAAAAGTATAGTTTCCATACCCCATCGATCATCTTGTTACTCGGGGGGAGAAAGCGTTAACATATGTTCCAAACACAGTTTTGTACGTAAAATAAAATTAGCACTCGATCAAACTGTCATTCTAGCAGCAGTAAAAATCACACTCACAATATGCCAAGTCATGCATTAGATCAATTACATGGAAAATTGGCCCAACTATGTGGAAATCCATTTATTTATTCATGTCTTTCAATCACACACACAAACACATCCGCATGATTTACAAACATCAATTCATGCAAAATATATGAACAACATATGCATAAAGCATGCAACCCACATGACCTAACAAGTCAAATTTAGTAGATATAAGCCATGAATTTTACTGGGACCTATAACCAACCCATTGTGTTATTAAATTGAATAATTAAGAATTTGTATAGTGTATATACTGAAGACAAATTGAGATATCTCAATGTTCATACAGAACATAAGTATATCATTGGAATAGGATGATTTTGAAAGAGAAAAAATACCTGAAGTTTTTCTAGTGTTTTGGACAATGATGAGAAAATCCACAATATAAACCAAGCATCCAAGAAAACAACAGGAAGCGCCAAATATACTCTAGCTTTTTGAGAGAGGTCATTGATGTTCCCCAAATGTTCAACAAGATCAAGTGCCTCTGAAGCAATAAAATAAATCACACCAAGAAGAAGTACTCTTGAGGTTGCACCACCAAGGGTAGGCTTCACCACACCATAGCCCATTGAAACCACCAAAAGAAGCAAGCGAGACAGAGTCTTTTTAACAGCAGTAACGGTTACTGCCAACAATGTAATGCCCATTGGTCTGCTTCCTGTGGCATTTAAATTTGCATATTCAAAATACCAGAGAGCTGTTTCACACATTCCAAGAGCAATAACTGCTGTAATGTGATAATGCAACTGTATAATATCCTTCCAAAATTGGACAAACCGTAAAAACCACATTAAGCCAAGTGCAAGATAAACTAAAGACATGATTCCGTAGAAAGTCATTAAAGGGACCATTTTGCCAGGTAAATAACCTTCTGGGTTCCTCCACACAGTACTACCCCGAATTACTGTGCCGTTGAGAAATGGATCACAAAACATGAAATAAAGATAGTACATTCCAGTGTTGTTTATTTCAACAGATAGCATATCCATCTTAGCTTCTTGATTTTTTCCTTCGAAGAAGGTTTGAATGCGTTTTGGCCACTCAGGGTTGTCTACCTTTTTGTCAATAATAACTTCCCCTACCTTGCAGGATCTATCCTTGGAAAGTTCTGGGTTGCAACATATTGCATCAGATTTTAGAAAAGCGCCTCCAATCCTTTCCTTGTCCTTTACCTCAACTATAATAGCTTCAACCAATCCAGTCCTAGTCTGCATCTCATTCTGTTTATCACTGGACTCTTTCGTCCTCACAAAGATGATGCTTTCGAATCTGCAATTCATCAGTTAGACTGAGATCTGGCATGAATACTAAAGCAAGGATCTACGTATTAAAGAGCATAAGTACTATTTGGGAAATCAGAACCAGTTGCCCAATTAATTCAAATCAGGATACGCCCATGACAAACATTAACAAATAAAAAGTTCTTTTAAAAATAAATAAATAGCTTTTGTAAATTTGGTCATTAGCTCCATAACCATATCTTCCAAGAGATGTAAATTCCTTAGATACATTCATGGAAGACTGATGATCCTTCAAAATTAATTTCCTTGCATTTTCCACAAAATTCCAGGTTTGATAGTTGTAAAAAGCCCTCCACGCCAGTTTCAAGTAACTAAGAAAGGAAAGAACATGTAACGAACACAAAAGGAACAAAACTCCCCAAAAGATAAAACTCACGGTCATATAAAATGTCAGAGTAAGCAACTTCCAATTGGAGAAACTACAGGTCAGATTCTTTAGGAGATTATCTCTTCTAAGTCAAATTTACAAGAATCCCTTTATAGTTGTAAGACCATTGAAAAAGACATCAGCTTTGATCACTTTCCATGTGCTACTATTATTTGGTTAAGACACCTAACTATTCAAAGATCTAAGTAATTGCATTTCTAACGTAAAATAGACAGGGCAAAGCAAGAAAGTGAGCTTATGAAAATTGAAGCACCACAAACTTTGTTCATATCACATCCAGATAGCTCAGCCCCTCCTCCCCCACCTCTGCAAACCCCCTCCCGCAGCCCTCCCTAGTAATGAGAACCCCCTCCCATAGCCCTTGGCACCGTTGCGAACCCCCTCTCCTTCTCCTTCTTTGCAAACTCTCTCTCTCTCTCTCTCTCTCTCTCTCTCTGGAGGTGAGCTGGGGGTGGCTGCCGAAGGTTGAGTGGGTTGGGGTGGTGGAGACGGTGGTGATGGTGGATGATGGCTGGGTGGGAAGGGTTTTAGGACTAGGGTTTGGATAGTGACAAAGGTAGGAATGAATTTCATGTTGGTGTAAAATTGTAATAAAAAATTATAGCAAGGTGGGGGGCACCAAATAAAAAATGTGAGTGATGTTAGCACCACCACAAAAATAAAAAATCATGATATGACAATAATTGTTGTCTTAAATAAAAAATAATAAAAAAAAGATTTAAGCATTAAGGCATTAAAAAATGTAGCATCACACATCAATTTAATAACAATAACAATGTTAAAAAACAACAAACATCATGGTTTCATCAAATCAAAGTTCACATTCAAATATTAGGGCGTTTTCAATCATCCCTTCAACTATTGAAAATGTTGTTGTATAGCATAAAACTTTAATTTTTTTGTTAAGTAATGCATCAGCGTAAATGCAACGCATTCAAAAAATCAGCACATATCATCATAAATCACAATTACAAAACCCAAATCACAAAACCCTAATAAACCTCGGCTTCTAAAATTATTTCAATCAACCACTCACTCACTAACTTCAAATATACAATCCATAGATAACAAGACATATAAACAAAGCAGCACAGTGAGATTTGAGTTTTGGTACCTAATAAAGGACCTGCCTTCGTTGGAAGCGTAGAGAACTTCACTGCCTCCATGGAAGAAGAAAGCATTCGACTGAACAGTGAAGGGTTCGTTTTTGTACTCGTGAATTGAGGCAGAGACTTGTGAGATTGACTCGCATATATACACAAACCCTATTATAAACCCTAGCCAATCTCTACTACCATGCCAATAGCTTCGCTTCATCTCTCTCTCTTCGCCTCTGTCCTCTTCTCTGTGTAAAGCGGAAAGCGAAGGGAACTGAGACGAAGAAAGGATTTACATTAGCTAACAACTGAAATGATGATTAGCTTAATTTACACATTAGTCCTCTAATTTGAACAAAATTTCTCTTTGCTCATTGTAATTTAAATTTTGTTACAATGTGGTCTTTTTGTCCCTAAAAATTTAAAGGGAACTTACATGTAAATCTGAAATTGGTAGCAGAGTAGTGACTGTTGTGCCTCAATGTGAGGTGCATTGTGGGCTTATTTTTATGATTTGAATTGTTGATTTTGTAAGGTTTGTTGAGTACTTCATGCCTACCAAAAATCATATTAATCGGATATCAATAACTATATGATTGATAACCAAAAATATGCAATTTGAGAAATAGCATAAAAAATATGCAATTCGATCATATAGTTATTGATATCCGATTAATATGATTTTTGGTAGACATGAAGTACTCAGCAAATCCTACAAAATGAACGGTTCAGATCATAAAAATAAGTCCATAATGTACCTCAAATTAAAGCACAACAGTCACTGTTGTGCCTTTAGCACAACAGTGATTCCTCCTGTAAATCTTAATAGATGAATTTATTGTCCAATAGATCCTAATTAATGATATTTTTCATTAAACACTATTAAAAAAATCACTAATTGTTAATTTTCAGTTGCAATTTGAAAATTGTCACAAAAAAATCACTAATTAGAAGTTTTAACAATAGTTTAAAAAAATCATAACAAAAAAGTCATAAATTTTCAACTTTCAACAATAGTTTGACAAGTTCGTCACAAAAAAGTCGCTAATTGCAAATTTTAGTGACAATTTGTAACAATCGTGACAAAAAAAGTCACTAATTGTCAATTTTTAGCGACATATGCAAAAAATTGTCACAAACAAGTATTTTTAGCGATGATTTTATTAGGACTTATTTTCAATAAGACTTTATGGAAATTATTGGTAGTTTACTCAAATTTTTTTAGAGGGCAAATTACACTAGTAATCTCTACATTTTGGATAATTCTATTTTTATACACCATTTATACTTTGTGAACATTATTTCTTAATTCATGCACTTATTAATTTAGTTACATTATATTTTTCTCATTTTATCCATCAAAAATTTCAAATATACCCCTAACCTGTAATTTGTACACACACAACACAAAACACATTTACACACATCACACCCGTAACTTCGACATATCCAGCAATAATTCGGCACATTTTCAACAATTCTTCAGCTCTATTGAAACCTACATTGAGCTCCATTGCATTATCGGATGTTGATAATTTTTACCCGCCTATTTTACGGTTATTATAGAATAAACTTGAAAAAATAAGTTGTAGTTTTACCATTTTCGATGGTCATTTAACCTTGGTTGGCGAAGAAACAAAAATAACCTATTCGATATTGATTTTTAAAACTAATTGGATTTATTCAGAATCAACATACGAAGCAAATGATTTCGTTTGATACACAACTACCAAACAACCCACTTTCTATACATCTGAAATATATAAACCGAATAAAGGAAGATATTTTAAAAGATAATTTTCAAAATAAATGAAATAATTTTTGGCTGTTGATTTCTGAATAAATTGCACCTGTTCAACACCGATGGTGCTACATACACCAATTGGTATATCAACTAGTATACCAACATATGTATGACATTATTAGTTCAAAATTATGACCCCATCCATTATACAAATTATAAATACCCAAAACCTTTAAAATTATATCACATCATCTGTTAGTACACTAATTGGTATATCAATTAGTGCATATAGCATTATTCATTTGACACTGGTTTTTTGAATGAGGGTCGCCAAAAAAGAAAAAAAACAAATTAGCTTCTGTTCATAAAAGATCACATTTTCATCATTACATTGGTTATAAAAACAGTAATATTCTTCTCTAAATTTACACATATATTATTTTGCAAATCTTTTATTGCACAAATAAAAAATGACAGGAGGAACAATAAAGTTCAACCATAGCGAAAGTGAAAAACAATGGAGAAGCAATGTGGGCCTAAGCACTCTACCAGGGGTGGCCCAGTGAAGAATACAGTTCTCTTCGTAGGGGTGACCCAGGTTCAAATCTTGGCAGGTACGAAAAATGGTTGATTTTCAGCTAGCTTTCTTTGAGATCTCGCACTGTATTTTGATTGATCTTAGACGCTTTTTGTGGCGTGTGGCTGAACTCTATTGGTGTCTCGATGGTGGGTCCCTTCCTAAGGATTGGGTTAAATCTGGTTGGCAACTGGATACCACGGGGCCAGGGCCTACGGATGTAATAACGATACCATAGAGCATCTTTTTTGAGTTAAAAAAAAAATGTAGGCCTTAACACGATATGTTTTTGGATTTTTTTTTTCCTTTTTGTTTTTCCAAAAGATGTGCAAAATTTTATGTCAAAGATATATATAGAGAAAATTTAGTTTTAAGATTAGTTATGTATTAATGTTTATAGAGGTCATTTTGTTTAATGATAAAATTATAATAAAAATTTAATTCCAGTATACAAAGACTAAGTGGGATGTGAAAATAGAATTACTCCTACATTTTGCCTCTAGTGTCATTTTAGTCTCTACACTTTCAATTGGCTCAATTTGACCATTGATTTTATATTTTGTGTCAATTTGGTCTAGTATTTTTACGAAAAATAATCGCTAAATTATTTGAGATTAACTCACTGAGTTGAACAAATTTATTATTTCGACTCTAAAAGCATAACATATGTCACTTTTGTTTGGGATGTAGGTTGGCTTTTTGACTTTTTGATTATTTTAGCCTAGGTTAAAAAGCCTCATTTGGGATGAACTTTTTGATTTTTTTGACTTTTGTAAAAGAAAAAATGAAATGATTATGGTTTGGATGTGATATTTTGTCTTATTGACTTTTTAACCTATTTTGTCATTTTGTCGCTATTTTAGCCCAAGATTGAGATGCCAAATGAATGCTTATATGCATATTTTTCATTAAAAAATACTAACAATTGTAAGTAATTAGACTAAATTTAGGCAAAATCATAAATTTATGACCAAAATTGAGACAATTAAAGTTACAAGGAGCAAAATGATACAAAGATCAAAATATAGGGACTATGAACATAATTTGCCCAATTGTAAATGGAAAAAGACCAAGTATAAAATTAGAGGGACAAAAATAAAATTCAAAATAAACTACAAAACCGATCAAAGTAAAAGTAAATTGTGTAATTTACCTTAAAGATTACCAAAGTATGCTGTTACAATGAGGAAGGGTTTCTTTTAAAAAGATATTAAAGGAGAAAAAAAATAAGGTGGGGTTTATTTTGAGTGTTGCTATTAGCATTTCATTTATTATTTTGTACCCTCCATTTTTTGATTTTTTTATTACAATAAAACCTTAAATGAAATTACAAAAGAGAATATTAATCATTTTAAGACACCCTATCTCACAATTAAGGCTATATACCTACTAAATCATGAGATATGGTTTATAAGAGCACCTATCTCTATCACTACCTATCCTTCTTCCTCAAATCCCACCTATCCTCAAAACCTTGAAAACTTTTCGGCAGTAACGACAACCATTTGATTACATACATTTTTATGGCAATAGCAATGACAATGGCAATGAGTGAAAGTTTTTCCGACAACCACAACTTCCATGAGACGAGAGAAGGATAACAATGTAAGTTTAGAGGAGGTTCATACTTTTGATCTTGTTCTTAACTCAGAAGAGGTTGGGTTTGTAAGGGTAAGTTTCTTGAAAAACACAACAAAAATAGTGAAAAATGTTTGTATTTTTTTCGATACTAAACTTTAGAACATATGACCAAAATTCAGGAATATAGGTCCGCACATTGAAATTTGATATACTTTGAAGGGTTAAAATTGTTTACATTTGTGGGAGCTTTTTTTTTATCAAGTTCAGAAACACATGCTTGAACATTGGTTATTTGTTTGGGAATACAGGCCCAAACATAGTTTATTTGTTCGGGAACACATGTTTGAACATTCTCAATGAAAGAGAGAGGAAAGAGACTTTGAGGGATTGGAGAGGAGCGAGATTGCGATTGAGCAAAATGCGAATTTACTCCTTTTGAACTATACATACACACACACACACACATATATATATACATACGTTTGCTATTTTTAGGGTTTTGGGTTAATCAAAGAAATGAATGGAATTGAAGGAAGATATAGGCACCTAATGCGAAGAAAAAAGTGAAGATCGCAGAGAACACATTCTTTACACCAATCGATTAACTTTAGAAATATTTTTCTTCCATCGTCATGAGAGAGAGAGAGAGAGAATGGGTTTTGGGGAGTTTTTTTTTATTAGGAATTTGGGAGATAATGGTTTTTTGAGGTGTGGGGGTGAAATTTTTATAAGGATAATTTTGGTATTATTTTGGAGAATGAAAGAAATTTTAAAGGTTTAAAAATTTATAAGTAAAAGTCTAAAAAAATGAAGGTCCAAAATAATAAATGATGTCCTAATAGCAGCAATCTTTATTTTTGTTGTAGTTTTCATAAATTTTTCTGTTGGGTTGAGCTCCTCCCCCACTTGAATTGGATTTCAGTCTGAGCAACTGATAGTCATTACATCAATACTTTTGTAAATTAATTGTTTAGATTTTGTTCATCTCACAAATTTAATATGGGTAAATTATCAATAGGTTATAATAATTGGATTTAATTTCTATCAAATCCTATTAAAAATAAGTTTTAATAAAATCGTCGCTAAAAATAATATTGTGACGAATTTTTTGCATATGTTGCTAAAAATTGACAATTAGTGACTTTTTTTTTGTCACGATTTTTATAAATTATCGCTAAAACTTACAATTAGTGACGTTTTTCTGTGACAAAATTTTCAAACTGTCGCTGAAAGTAAAAAATTAGTATTTTTTTGTGACAATTTTTTTAAATTGTCACTAAAACTTATAATTAATAATATTTTTTATGATACAATTTTCAAACTATCGCTAAAAATGAACAATTAGTGATGTTTTTAAATAGTGTTTGATGAAAAATGTCATTAA